GAGCGGGGACTGAGACCAGGGGCAGAGGCGGGAGCGCGCTTCCAGGCACAGCCCGGCCCCAGGAGGCCGCCCCTGCTGCCCCTTCGCTTCGACCCCGCGAGGCCGCTGCCCTGGGCTTCCCCACACGGGGCTCCTGCGCCCCGGGGACGCTGTCTCGGCTCCATTATGGCACCTCTGGGCGGAAAGGAGTGTGCCTTATGCTGGGTATCCCAGGCAGGAAAACGCAGACACAAAGGATGGCCAGGAAGTTGAAATATAAATGTATCGGGATCAAGATTCTCTTGCGTTCCCCCTCAATTCAAATAACCCCCAGTGCCTCCAAGAAGCTCCTGTCTTTGCCTGGGACATCTGGTAGCGAGCGGGTGAGGAGTGCTAGCGGCTGGAGGTTGGTTTTCCATACCCTGAACTGACCTAGGAGAGAGCAACTTGTTAGGGCCTCCCCACTTTTCGAGAGGGGCAGAGATTTTCTGCGGTGCCTCCTTCCTCGTATGTATTACCTCCACAATAAATCTAACTCTATTCTTAGTCATCGCCTATCATTTAAAGACCTTTGTGTGTAATCTGTGTGTTCCCAACTAAATTATAAATCCTCCCAGATAAGGAGATAATACACTTTTCCCTTCTTGTCTTTAGTCTGCCACGTGGATGAAGCATAGCATTGTGTAAGCAAAAGCATTCAGATATAAATGAGTTAACAAACGTTTAGCACCGACTCTGGTTCCAGGGCTGAGGAGTGCTGCTTGGGATCCTTTTCACCCAGTTTCCAGCCCTCAAGAATGCAATCATGAGACAATTAGAGAGCATCGCAAGAAAATCTATAATCAACTCCTTTAAGGGATGAGGTAAAGGTTGCTGCAAGTGTAGCATCTGTCTGTGGTCTTGTCTGTGGAGGCGGGTGACCAACCTGCCAGCCCTCGTCAGCCACACCTTGGCTTACTCCAGTGGGCCCTGCTCTGGAAACGGGGATCTGGGGGGACTCCCAGGACTCCAGGGAGCTTGCCTTGGCATGTCAGTCAAGTGGCTGGAGTCGATAAACGGGGCCCAGCATAGAGAGGAGTCTTTGGCGTGTGTCCTGCCACTAAAATCCAGCCTCAAATGGGCACACCTATCATGCCTGTAATCCTAGCACTTTGGGAGGCCAAGGTGAGAAGATTGCCTGAGCCCACAGGTTTGGGACCAGTCTGAGCAACTTGGTGAGACCTCGTCTCCACATTAAATCAAAACAATTATCCGGGCGTGGTGGCATATGCTTGTAGTTCCAGCTACTTGGAAGGCTGAAGTGGAAGGATTGCCTGAGCCCAGCAGGTCGAGCCTGCGGTGGTCGTGAGCGTGCCACTGCACTCCAGCCTGGGCAACAGAGTTAAGACTCTGACTCAAAAAAAAAAAGAACACATCTGCCTCTCTTCTCAGACCTGCGGTCAGCTGGTCCCTGTGAGGTCATCAGCTGTAAGACATCGCTCAGAGCCATTACCCCAATCAATCCTGGGGTCATTAGGTGGTCACGGGAGAGGTGGAAACCTATGCTGAGGTCGTCAGGAGGTCGTTGGGAACTCAATACCACCAACCGGGTCAGAACTGGGCCACTAGGGCCCCGGATCTAGGCCGCCAAACTCGTAACCGTGAGCGCACCCCTCCCCCGCATCATTCTGGAACGCGTAGTCCCGGAGCGGCCCATTTCAAGAGGGCAGCGCGCACAGAGAAGGAATAACAAGAGCGAGGCACGCTGGGAACCTGGGCGCCCCGGTGGGGCGCCGGGAAAACGGACACGCGGTGCTTCCTGGGACTTGAAGTCCTGGGTTTGCCTCCGCGGTCGAGCCGGAGCCCCGGGCATCGAGAGCTGCAGAAAGCCTGAGCGCAGCCTGCTGGGGGTTGTAGTCTCTTTGTCCGCGGCCCCGGGCATTGCTGGGAGATCTGGCCGCCCTACGACTATTAAGCCCAGAAGCCCCTGCGCAGGGAGGGGGCGGGGCGAGGCTGGGGCTGGGGTGCCGCCTCCTCTGCAACGCCGGGGCCGGAGTCTTAAAACCGAGGGCCCGCTGGGGTCCCCGCGGCCGCCGCGATGCAGAAATACGAGAAACTGGAGAAGATTGGGGAAGGTAATGGAACCTCGACACGTTCATGCAAGATTTTCTTCTGCAGACCCCTTGGCATTCCTTGCAGCCCTGGCTCCCCTACCGTCAGCAGTACATACAGGCTCCGACCTCAGCACTGGCTGCAACTCTCGCCCCCCAGTACAGCACTCCGTGGAGACACCAGTCTTCTCCATGTTAGCATTTCTCGCGGACTCCCACTCCCAACCTTAGCTCTCCCTGTAGACCAGAGCTCCCCAACCGCGGCACTTCCTGCATTTCCCACCCCAGCCTCAGCAGCACTTGCCCAACCTCATCCCGTCCCCCAGCCTCAGTTCTCGCTGCAGACCTCCAACCTCACCATTTTTCTGCAGTCCGCTAGTCCTCCCAGACCCCTCCGCGCTGTCTCCAGACCCTCCCGTAGCACCGCATTCATTATAGACGTCGTTACCCTGGCAGCCGCAGACTCCGAGACCCTTGAGCCTCTGCAGGGCCCTTCTTGCGCCTCCCCACCTGCCACATCTTCACTCACAAAGCCCTTCCACGCTTGGCCTTCCCCCGGAATCCCTTTCCTTGCACATTTAGACGCTGCCCCCCCCTTCCAGGAGGGATTTCCTGGGTTGGGGAAGGATGCCCCATCCTTTCCTTCACCCCCTGACCTCCTTCCCCTAGGTACCTATGGAACAGTATTCAAGGCCAAAAACCGGGAGACTCATGAGATCGTGGCTCTGAAACGAGTGAGGCTGGATGACGACGATGAGGTAGGACTGGGGACCAAGACCTAGGCCAGGGAGTAGGGAGAGGGCCTGGGCTGGGTGGGATCTGACTTGCCCACCTGGCTCCTTCATGCATGTAGGGTGTGCCGAGTTCTGCCCTCCGGGAGATCTGCCTACTCAAGGAGCTGAAGCACAAGAACATCGTCAGGTGTGCAAAAGGCAGGCACCTCCTTGCCTGGGCCCTTTGGAGGAGGAGGGTTCTTTGGTATTGGGCTGGGCTGACACTGGGATGTTGGCTGCAAACCTACAGACCTGCAAACCTGGCTGAGCACTTCCTTTTCCCTAGGCTTCATGATGTCCTGCACAGTGACAAGAAGCTGACTTTGGTCTTTGAGTTCTGTGACCAGGTGAAATGGTAGCTTGGGAGATAGTAGTCTTGGGAAGGTATTAGGGCCCAGATTGAGGTTAAACTCTGTCTCACTTCCCCACCCCCATCTATGTTAGGACCTGAAAAAGTATTTTGACAGTTGCAATGGTGACCTGGATCCTGAGATTGTGAAGGTGAGTAGAGTGGTGAACGGGGAGTCCTCAGGTTGGGATGGGAGTCTGCATTCGGCATCAGCACCTCTAGAGCATCAAGTGTAGGCCCTGAATAGAGACATTCTGGGGTGTCAGAGAATGGGAAAACCCTATTTCTGCCCTTTAGGGGCCTCCAGTCTTAGAGCATTTTCACACGGTCTCCTTTAACCTGCAGGGTAACACTTTGATGTCAGTGTTATTATTGACATCACTTGAGAGATGAGAAAACGAGGCTCAAACAGATGCATTCATCCATTCAACAAATACTTATTGAATGCTTTGCTGTGTGTCAGGTGTTCTTCTAGGTCCAAGACCAAGTGCCTTGGTCCAGGTTCCAGGGGAACCAGGTCCTGAATAATACTGTAACATGATGGTTGTGGTGTGCATGTTCAGATGTGGCCCAGTTGGGTCGATCTTCCCTAGTCAGAGTCCCCTAGACTGTAAGGTTAGGAAGGTGGGGACTAGGCCTTACTTGTTCACTGCTGTCCCTGTGATGTCTAGCACAGTACAGAGTGGGTCTTGGATGGTGAATGAATGGTGTGGTGCTGAGCTCAGTGCTGAAAGGAAGGTGAGCCTAGAGCGGAGCAGAGTGTGAGGTAGGGTGGTGATCCATTACCTGACGCAGCTGCACATCCAGGGTGTCTGAATCCCTCCCCCCACCCCTCCCCCAGTCATTCCTCTTCCAGCTGCTAAAAGGCCTGGGATTCTGTCACAGCCGCAACGTGCTGCACAGGGACCTGAAGCCCCAGAATCTGCTAATAAACAGGGTACTTCTCAGGGAGAAGGGAGAAGGTGGGGAGGCTGGAGCCAGGGGCTGGGGAGCACTGAGGGAGCAGGACTGGGAGGAGGGCGCCTGAGCTGCCCCAAGGGTGCTTGAAGGTCCTTCTTCCTACTTCTCCCCCCAGAATGGGGAGCTGAAATTAGCAGATTTTGGCCTGGCTCGAGCCTTTGGGATCCCTGTTCGCTGTTACTCAGCTGAGGTGAGCTGGGGGATGGGATATAGGGTCGAGGGAGGGAGACTCTCAGCTCTTCACCCACGACCCAAAACATTATTTTCCTCTCCTCTTTGAGCCTCCTCCTTCAGCCTCCTCCCCAACCCTCTAAGTGGGGGGTCCCTGTGGGTGGGGTCTCCTCCAGGTGGTCACGCTGTGGTACCGCCCACCGGATGTCCTCTTTGGGGCCAAGCTGTACTCCACGTCCATCGACATGTGGTCAGCCGGCTGCATCTTTGCAGGTGACATGCTGGGGCTCTGCAGAGGCACTGTCTCTCCCATTTGGGTTGACATACAGGGTCTGGAGAGAAGGGAGTGGGCCTCTGGGGCTGGGGATGGAAGACACGGGGTATCTTGGAGTGAGGGGTCCTTCATGTGTCATGTCTTAGCGTCTTCTCTTTCCCCCAGAGCTGGCCAATGCTGGGCGGCCTCTTTTCCCTGGCAATGATGTCGATGACCAATTGAAGAGGATCTTCCGATATCCTTCCATTTCCCCCTACCTTGAGCCCTCTGGCAAGGGAGTGGCTCTTAGAGTTTCAAGTGCAGGTGTCAGGGCAGTGATGGCCTGGGCCAGGATAGTAGGGTCTGCAGAACGTCTCCTGAGGGTCGGTGGGGGAAGAGCAAGGGTGCTGGGCAGACTCTGAAGAGGGTGTGACTTGAGATAAGCAGGGTACTCTGGGTCAAGAAGCTGAGAGGGTGCCCCTCCAGGTGAGAGGGTGCGTTCACCTTAGGGTGAAGGAGTCAAAGGGAACAGGAAGGTTGTGGGAGCAGGGCAAGGATGATGAGTTCATTAGGACTGCAGCTATCAGGATTTGGGTGAAAATAGTTGAGTTTGTCACAGGAAACACTGTGCAGGTGGGCTGAATATGCAAACCACATGCTGGAGGCCTGCTTCTGTCATGAGCCAGGGATAGAGTAGGAGTGAGAGGAGAGGGTGGTGAGTAAGAGTAATCCCACCCTTAGAGGGGAAGAGCCCCTCACCCTGCCCCTGAAGATGCAGATGTGACCTTTTTCCACGAATGATCCTTGACCCCGTGGACACGTTGCTGGGGACGCCAACCGAGGAGCAGTGGCCCTCCATGACCAAGCTGCCAGACTATAAGGTGTGATGGGGAATGAGGGAGGTCATAGTTCATCAGGGTCGCTTTTATTTCACATTGCTAGCAGCCTTCATACCTCCGGTCTGACTCTCCCTATCGCTTCACAGCCCTACCCGATGTACCCGGCCACAACATCCCTGGTGAATGTCGTGCCCAAGCTCAATGCCACAGGGAGGGACTTGCTCCAGGTAGGTGATCGGGGTAGAGTTGGGGTCTGGACACTTGCCCAGGGAGACCGGGGAAGGCAGGGATCTAGGCAGCCAACCTGTCCTGAACCTGCCACCACCTTTCCTCCCTGTCTCCAGAACCTTCTGAAGTGTAACCCTGTCCAGCGCATCTCAGCAGAAGAAGCCCTGCAACACCCTTACTTCTCTGACTTCTGTCCCCCTTAGGCTCCAGGATCCCTGGCTGCCAGGCTGGGGCCTGGCCTATTTAAGCCCCCTCCCGGGAGGGGTGGGACAGTGGGGATGCCCAGTGTGCTGAGCCCCAGCTGTGCTGGGCTCAGCCTGGGTGGGGTGCCCAAGCCCATGTTCCTCACTCCCTCCATGAACTTTATTTAATTTCATAAATTGGCTCCTTTCCCAAGGTCTGGCTGATATGATGGTTGAGTGGCTCTGCAGGGGCATGGACTGGGGGTCTTCCCTCCACTTTCTCACCTGCTGTAACCCATTTGCAGCTCCAGCAGAGCCCGACTATCTGCTCCTTTTCTGCTACTCTAAGTGTCTGTGACCCTCACCCCTGATCAGTGGGGCCAGGGCAGTGCTGTCCCTGCACTTGTGCACTCATACACTGGAGCACACCCCTTCTTTCCTCTGCCCAGGAGGGCCTGACTCATCCTGAGGGGTTAGGGGGCTAGTTTCTGAGAGCAAGGATGGGCTTCTACCAAATGAGGAAAGAAGGACTGGCCACCCTCCTTGTGCATGGTTCTCCATAGCCCATGTGGCCCCTCCTGTCCCTTCCCTCTTCATTCCCACCATACCCAGGCCTTCAGGCTAGGATGGGAGAGACGCAAAGATGTCTCTCCCATCAGGAAATCAGGATATCAGGATAACAGGAAAACCTCCCTCCCCCGACTCCCCATTTATCAGTTTTCCAATGCATGGGGGTACAGCAAAAGAGAAGGAAATTGGGCCTGTGGCTAAGGCCCAGTGTGTCCTTACTGGCAGAAGGGGGCAGGGAGGACTCAACCCACTCCCACCTTCTCAAGCAGGGACCCTTCAGCTCTTGTGGGGATGCTGGGAAAGTAAGAAGTATTCCCATGGAGGCAGGCTGTGTACCGCACTTGGTCCCAAATGTGAGGAAAGGAATCACGATCTAAGACGGGAGAACAGTTGTGTTCTTAGATGTGGAATCACCTCTCTGTCTTCTCCCTGCCTTCTCCCCCACTTCTTGCTGGGTTCTGGGTCAGAGCCTTCTTCCAGCCCTACCCTTATTGCACTGTCACTACCTGCTGACTGTGATTCCTCTGTGCCTCACACCCAAGTCTGAGTTTGGAGGATACCTGTCCTCCCTTCTCTCTGAGATGTCAACCTGATAAACTCATTCACACTGAGGTGCAAATGACCGATAACCTCTTACTGCTATCATCTCTGAGAGGTTCGTGGGGGTTTCAGAAGCCGTGTCCAGCTGGATGATGGCTGGCACTGGACTTCTATGCCTGAGTAGGACTGACCTTGGCCTGGCTTGTCTCTGTAGTGTGAGAAGAACACCTGAGGCTGATGCATTAGAACTTTATTTGGGGTGAAGGTGGCAAAGCCATGTGCAGACTTGGCATGTCCAGGGTGTCAAGGCATGGCCTTGAAGACACAGGCAGCAGGTCTAGAGCCGTGTGACAAGGTAGCAGGTGCGGTGGGAGGCAGAGAGAGTCTTGGTGACAGCACACGGAGGGGTGGGAGGCCTTGTGGGACAGACCGCAGTGCTGGGGTGGAAGCCTTCACACCCGCTGCCCTGCTCTCCTGCCCCTGCCCTCCTGAAACTGAACTACAGCCCCTGGACCAGACCTGCCCCTCCTCCCTTGATCTTAGGGGGCCATTTTGTGTTACCTGGGGCCCAAGCTGAGGTGGGAAACTTGGGTTCGATGGCTGCCCAGCCCTTCCTGAAGCTGTGAGAGGAGGGAGAGGGTCAGAGGCGGGGAGGGGTCCTCCTCCCAGGGACCTGCCAAGGTCAGTGCACACCCCTCCCCGACACTGTTTTTCCTCAGGTGGGTGGGGATGATGTTCTAGGCTTCGGGGAAGGGCGCTAGCACCCCTGGAGGTGACAGGGAAGAGAGAGGGACTGTTACCAGATTGGTGCTGGAGTGCCTTTGGGATCGCCTTCGGTTCCAGAAATATCCCAGGACCCTGTCTAGGAACACCTGGAGGCAAGCGGGAGGGGAAGGTGACCAGCACATATCTTCTCTCAGGTTCCCCTCCTCCAGTGGGGTCCTGGCCTACCTCAGAGAGGTAGTCTAGGATCTCAAGGATAGTAAGTAGGCTGGCCCCAATGAACAGCCCCATCTGGCCCCCAATGTCACCTGTGGAGACAGGGTCACCCTTCGATTCACAGCCACCTGTCCACCCCCACTTCCCCAGACCTGGGCGCTCTGCACACACACCGAGCAGCTCAGACACCTCATAGGCCTTCTTCTGCTCCACTGTCTCATAGTTCAGGGCCTCAAAGAAGATGTCCAGGACCAGCACATTCTCCCTGGAGGAAAAGAAAGGCGGAAAATGTTCATGGGTCACGCCCTGGTGCCAGCTTCTGGCACGAAGCACCTGTGGGTTCTCAGGCTCCTTTCAAGAACCTTGGGAGGGGGCGTCACCATCCCCCAGGGAGCCCCTGGCCCAGAGTTCCAGAGCCTGTGATGCTGGAGAGACAGGTGTCCAACCCGGGTTGTGCACACCAGGGTTCCGTCCCCACCTGGCCAGGAGTCCCTCCCCCAACCCCTGCCCCTCGCTTGCCCGCTTTGGAGGCTGCCACCCTCGCCCCGGCCCTCGCGGCTCACCTGATGTAGGCCTCGCTGTGGTTGAACTTCCGGGCCAGGTAGCGGGCGGCGGCGCGGCTCGGGATCTGCACCATGGAGAGCTCCTTGGCGTAGCGCGTGCTGGCGCAGGGGTTGGGGCAGGCGCACACGTCTTTCCGGAGCATTGCGTCTGCGGGCCAAGGGCTGGGTCAGAGCCGCCCTCCCAGTAGGTTTGGGGTCACAGGCGACGCTCGGGGTGGCGGGAGCGACGGGTAGGTGGGGGACGGTTTGCCCCTTACCCAGGGTTGGATTGGCACAGTCCTTGTACTGCTGGGGGCTGCACACGGGCGCGCTGCCTGGGGTGGGGAGAGGAGACGGCTTCAAGAGCAACCGAGCTTTCCAGGCTCCCCGCCAGGAAACGGGTCCCGCCCCCAGCCCCTCACCAGGCATATGCATCATTCGACAGCCACACTTCCGAGCCACGTAGCGGGTCTCGCAGGCCAGACGACAACCCATTAGGCTATAGGGGGGGCTGGAGCTGGAGCTGGGGCTGGGGGGACCCAGGGGATCGGAGGGCTCCGGGTCAAAATCGGGGTCCAGAGACACGGAACTGCAGTCACCCCAGGGCGGTGGCAGGAAACTCAGCTGAGGAGGGGCAAGGTTAAGGAGGTGTCTGAAAAGTTGTGAGAGGTCGTGAGGTGGAGGCCCTGGACAGGTCTTGAGACACTTGAGGGTTTAAGGGCTGAGGTGATGTGGGAGCCTTGCGGG